ATCTCTACCTTGGGGTCAGCCCGGCGGCCGTCAGCTCTGTGCTCATCCGGGAGGAAGACGACATCCAACATGCCATCTTCTATGTAAGCAAGACCCTAAGGGAGGCCGAGCTTAGGTACTCCCCTGTGGAAAAAACGGTGTTTGCCATCGTTTGGACCGTCAAGAAGTTGGGCCACTACTTTCAGGCTCACCCGGTTCAGGTCCTCACTCATCAACCCCTCAGCGCCCTCATGAGGAGCCCCACCAGCTCCTCCCGCATGGTGAAATGGGCTATCTTCTTGAGCCAGTACAACATTGACATCCGTCCAAGGCCTGCCATCAAGGGCCAAGCCCTGGCGGACTTTGTGACGGAGTGTACCGCAAGGGCAGCCACGGACGGGGAGCCCTCGGCTGCCTCGGACGACTGGTGGACCCTCTACACCGACGGCTCCTCCGCGACCAAAGCATGCGGGGGAGGGGTGGTCCTCATTACTCCCGAGGGCTTCAGAGCCTACTATGCAATCCGCTTCTCTTTCAAAGTCTCCAACAACGAGGCCGAGTATGAGGCCCTCCTATGTGGCCTTCGGCTAGCTGCCAACATGAAGGCTCGGCAGATCCACATCAAATGCGACTCCAAGTTGGTCGTTGGCCAAATCTCCGAAGAATATGAGGCCAAGGAGGGAAGAATGAAACAGTACAAGGAGGCGGCCAAGGAGTTGCTTAAGATTTTTGAGGCGCACTCCCTCACTCAAATACCGAGGGCTCAGAACTCCGAGGCCGACATATTATCTAAGCTCTCGGCCGACTCCCCCGAGCACATCTCCAAGATTGCTAAAATTGAGGAACTCAGTCTCTCAAGTATCCATGCAAGCCCCGTTATGAATATACAACAACGCCAAGAGGACTGGATCTCGGATATCATCACCTTCATCTCCACAGGGCAGCTACCCGAGAACGAGACCCGCGCTAAACTAGCTAAACTGAGGGCTCCTAGCTATACCATCGAAGACGGAAGGCTCTACAAACGGTCTTACAACGGCACGCTACTTCGGTGCCTTCACCAGGATGAAGCCGAGGTCGCAATGGAGGAAGTGCACAGTGGCACTTGCTCGGCTCACCAGGGACCCTTCTCCATGTCCCGAAGGCTCATTCTCCAGGGCTACTTCTGGCCAACCATGGCCAGAGATTGTGCTGACCTCGCCCGAAGGTGCACCGCATGTCAACATTTCCAGAAAGCCCCCGGCAGGCCAGCGGTCAACTATGCCCCCATCAACACATCCATCCCCTTTTCTCGGTGGGGGATAGACCTTGTGGGCCCTCTGCCGAGGGGTACCTCCAACAACAGGTACATCATTGTGGCCATCGACTACTTTACCAAGTGGGTGGAGGCTGAACACCTCGCCAGCATCACAGAGGCGAAGTGCCGTCACTTCGTCCTCAAGAACATCCTCACAAGGTTTGGCGTCCCCCAGCAGATCATCTCCGACAATGGGACACAATTTGAGGCAGCCCCCTTCTGTGCCCTTCTGGAGGCATGGGGCATCAAACACACCTTCTCCTCCGTTGCCTACCCTCAAGGCAACGGGCAAGTAGAGAATGCCAACCGGACCTTGCTCGAGGGCCTCAAAAAGAAGCTGGAGGCCGAGGGCGGTGGCTGGGTGGAAGAACTCCACAACATCCTTTGGGCCTACCGCACCACCCCTCGGCGAGCAACAGGTGAAACACCCTTCTCCCTCTGCTACGGTTTTGAAGCCAAAGCTCCTACGGAAGTCACCCTTCCCACATGGAGGGTGATCCAATATGACCCCGAGGTCAACGACAACAACATGGCCCTCGACCTCCACCTCATTTCAAAACGCCGGGAGCAGGCCTTCATCCGAGCAGAAAACTACCGAAGGCAAGTCAAAAGCTACATCGACGCCAAGGTTCGCACCAGAGAATTCCAAGTGGGGGACTATGTCCTCCGGAGGAGGGAAGCCAGCCAACCGACCGAGGGAGGCAAAATGGCACCAAAGTTCGAAGGCCCCTACATCATAGCATCCATCATCAAACCTGGGACTTACAAGCTCAAACGGCCCAACGGGAAAGAGGTCCCTAGGCACTGGAATGTACACCACTTAGTTAAATTTTATCAATAATGTAAGAGCGGCCAAGCCCTCACAACTAGTGAATGTACTATCCTATGGCCCAAGGCCTCCAAATTTTGAAGAATGAGGATACATTCAAGACACCAAGAACAAAACACTTATGAGCGGCCAAGCCCTCATACCAACTACATGCCCCAGGCCTCACCTCGAGAAGAACCCCCTCCGGCGTCAAGTGCCGAGGGCGAACACCACCAACACCTACGCCAACGGTGAAAACACCATGTGTTTTCAGTCAAGACCCCTTGGTACCAAGTACCGAGGGAGGGAACTCCCATCACCGACGACAAGAAACAACAAGTGTTTCATTTCCCTTCGGAACCCAGTGCCGAGGGTACGCCTCCACCATCAACGTCAAAAAACGAAGAAAACACCAAATGTTTCAAAGAAGACCCCTCGGCACCCAGTGCCAGGGATACGCCCTTTTGTCAACTTTCAAACACCTGTTGGAAAACGCCAAGCATTTCCTTCGAAGGCCCTCCGGCATCCAGTGTTCCTACAGAAGACCCTCCGGCACCCAGTGCCGGGGGTACACATCTCCACCTGCGAACATCATAAAGAAGAACACCAAGTGTTCCTACAGAAGACCCCTCGGTACCAAGTACCGGGGGTACACATCTCACCCATCAACGTCAGATAGAAGAAGAACACTAAGTGTTCCTACAGAAGACCCCTCGGTACCAAGTACCGGGGGCTACATATCGAAACTAACACCAAGTGTTGTTTCTAAAGCCGTACCCCACGAGGACGCATATACCGAAGGCGCCACCATCGGTGCCGGCGGCACGTAGTGCCCCCGACCATTTGCAACTAGTGTGCAAATGAAAACCCTTCCTTGAAATGCTTTCCGCGTCACTACCCCCAGGGTATGACAGGCATGAGAAATGCCCAGGATTCGACTTTAAAAAACGGAACGCTTTCCGCGTCATCACCCCAAGGGTATGACAGGCACGAGAAATGCCCAGGATTCGACTTCCAAAACGAAACGCTCCCCGCGCCACCACCCCAAGGGTGTGGCAGGCCACAGACTATGTCTAGCGCCGAGGGGACGACTTTCAAAAATGAGGCGCTTTCCGCGCCATCCCCCAAGGGGAGGCAGGTTACAGACCATCATATCTTGTACCCAGGAAACGACCCTCGATCCCCTCGGAACTCGGAAGGTTAACCCGAGGGAGGAGAGCCATTGGTGTATTCTGATGGTCTCCTGATAGGCCCAGCCTTACCAAGAAACCAAGTTTCTTGATGCCTTCCCTTCACCACCAACCAAAAAAAAAGGGGGGGGGGGGGTGAAGGGGAGTAGACTCAGCGAGAAATCAAAGAGTACACTCCAACAGATCACAACATGCCGAGGGCTTCCCACGGGAACACCTCCGGTAATTCAAGGCTCCTATTTCCCGAAGGATACTACTCAAACAAATATCGTCAAGAAATGGCTAAGTCCACTGCTTGGTCACCTTTGGTCACACAAACACCGAAGGCTTCAACAATACGAAGGGACTGGACTGTCCAAAGTCCACTGAACGGCACCTCAAACAAATACCGAGGGCATCTGTTATGCACCACCGAGGGCCCTTACCCCATGACAAGGGACACAACTGGCTAAGTCAAACCCAAACAACTTTTCAAGTGAATGCCGAGGGCACATACTCCTCATCGGCTTTCTTTACAACAACAGGATTCCACACTTTTCCTAAGTCCACACTTTTGGAAAATGACGACAACCAAAGGCATCTATTACAAATCATCAAAGGCCAACCGAGGGGGCTAATTCCAAAATATTTGCCCCTCGGACAGACTCCTCATTGATCGAAGGTTCAACATCTACGACACAGTTTGAAATTTTTCTAAGTCCCACATATTTGACCCTCTGTCAAATACTCATACACCACAAGGGCCTCACGATCACCCGAAGGGTCCTATTCATATACCCGGAGGGATCTACATCCGGAAGCTCAACATCAATTTACGCTTGGAAAATATTCTAAGTCCTAAATAAGTAGCCCCCGGGCATCCCGCAAAAGTGACGCAGAGTCAGAGGGCACCCATCACCCGAAGGCGACACAAGGAAGCGGCACTTAGAAAAAATTCTAAGTCCTAAAGATTGGGCCCCCGGCCCAAGCGATATTACAGCTAAGGGAATAGGATAGCCGAAGGCTATGCGGTACAACGGCACTTAGAAAATGTTCTAAGTCCTACATACTTTTCCCTCGGTCAAGTACTCATACATAAAGGAGGGATGCCATCGCCCGAAGGCTCCCAAGGGAAAAGCTACACTTAGAAGTCTCTCTGGGTCCTACATATTTCACCCTCATCTCAACTCATGAAGGGACCTAATAGCCGAAGGCTATCTATCCATAAAAGGCTACAGTGCACAAGGAGTCAACACTGAGAAAAATTTTCTAAGTCCTAAACATTGGCCCCCCGGCCTAATCAACATTTCAGTTGGGGCCCCACAGTAGCCGAAGGCTACATGGCCCACTACGTTTACAAAAATTTTCTAAGTCCTGTATATTGGGCCCTCGGTCCAATATTCACACTTCAGGAAGGAGGCTACCGGCCGAGGGCTTCCAATGGCAAACTACACTTGGAAATTTTTCTAAGTCCTAAGAATTGGGTTCTCAACCTAATCACCACGCAGCAATTGAACTACGGACATCCGAAGGCCCTATGGTGTGCTACACTTAGAAAAAATTTCTAAGTCCTAACTATTGCTGAGCCCTCGGTTGTATATCCGGCGAAGGGTGCCCAACTACCGAAGGCTACAACGGTATTCAAACACTTATGATATATCCTAAGTCCTGAACATACATTCAAAAAGCCGAAGGCATACATCCAAAACGAGACGAAGGCATACATTCAAGGAGAAATGAATTAAAGAAAACAAACCATATATACAAAGCCCGAAGGCAATCATTCATCCATCAAAAAGAAGGGATTCAAATGTATTTGTTACAGAGCATGGCCAAAGGCCGAGGGCATTCAAACATTCATTACAGAGGGATTGTTCAAAACATGTTAAAATAAGAAATTAGAGATCAACATTCCCGGGGGCCGTCCCCTCCGCAGGCTTTGAAGTGACCTGTGTTCCGTCCTCAGGATCGTCACCTTCGGCTTCCTTCATGAGCTCTGTATCCTCTAGGTCTGGCCTCTCGACATCGGAGGGGAGAGGAACGCGGACGTCTGGCTGCAGGGGGGAAGCCCATATGCCGCCGGGTCGAAGTCCTTTGGCTCAATCTTCAAGTGGCGAGCCATCCTCCGGTAGATGAGGGCTTGGGTGAAAAACTCGCCCCCATCATAATACTGTTTACCCTTTCGGGAAACCCACTCCACTCCAGGCCCGTCGCACCACTCGTCGACCGAGGACTCAACGACCGAGGACAGCCATTGCTTGTGCTCCTCAGCTCGCCACCCCCCCTGCCAAGAACCCAGAGATGGCGTTCCCTCAGGCTCTCTCGACGGCCTCCACCTTAGCGGCCTCGGCCTCCATCTTGGCGGCCTCGACCTCCCCGACAGCTCTCTCAAGGGCCTCAGCTGCGGACCTTTCAGCCTCCGCCCTGCCCCGATCTGTGGCCTCCGCCCGCAGGGTCATCTGCCGAAGGCTCTCCTCCAGCATAGCCATCTGTCGGACAACATCGGCATTCTGGCGGATGAGCTCCCGCATCTTAGCATCCTGCTCAGCCTTGCGAAGGCGCCACTCCTCTAGCCGCCGGGCTTGCTCTCCGAGGGCAATGCAGGTCTACAAAAAAAAGGAGAGATAAGTTAGGAAGGCCGTACATTATTTCCTAACTCAAACAAAACGGTAAACTATCAAAGAAAAACTCACCGTAAGGGAAGACCGGAGGATCCTGTCCTCGAGGGCTTGGTCGTCATCATCCCCGAGGGCCGCCCTGTCAATATCAAGGGTTATACCTCTCAGAAGCGCCCTCGTGTCAGCCGTGCCATTCATCACGGCCGTACCAACCGGGACGGAGATCGTCAGAACCTCGGAGGATGGCTCCCGGACAGCCCCCGGGACTTTCGCCACCGGCATCTCCTCGTGCACCCCGGAGGCGGGGCAATTGTTGGTCCCGTTTGTAATGGGAACAGTCTAGGGGGGTGAATAGACTGTTCAGGAATTTAAACTTTTCTCTAAGTCAAGTCTGACTTATCAGAGATGGTCGAAATCTGGTGACAGAGATGGTCAAAGTCTGATGGCAGAACTAGACCAGGCAGCGGATAAGTTTCTGTCCGGGTAGCCTCTAGAAGAAAACTAAGGCAAAATGCCTTTCTGATAACTCTGAAGGAAGATCTGCTGGACACAGAGTCTAACCTTAAGAGTTAGTCAGTAGAATCTTAAGTGCAGGAATTAAAAGCTTAAAGTAAATGACACCGGGGTTTTTATAGTGGTTCAAGGAACAACTTGTTCCTCTAATCCACTGTTCCACTAAGCTTGCAAAAACAACAGTTTACAACGCCTTAGTCCCTAGATCTTAAGAAGCACTCCTCGTCTTCTTCAAGTCTAGTTGCCACCCGGGATGCAGTCTTGCTTCCTGATGGCTGGTCTCGTTTCACTGAGTCTCTTGAAGTATCCCCACTTCACTTACTCCAGCTAGTTTGAGACGTCCCTTCTTTTTCAAGAAGTGTTTGATATAAAATCAGTTTTCTCCAACGTTGCTTCTTCACAAAGGATGAGTATATGAAGCTTTCGAAGTGTTGAAGAACTGAGTAACTTTGCGGTTTGCTAGTTGGATGAAGGATAGGAAAGTATATCTTCCAACTGGAGCCTTTTCTTGTCTAAGAATGGAGTTTGAATCTCAAGAAGGTTGTTTACGCAAAAGTTATCTTGGCAAAATTATTTTCTTAGTTCTTCAGAGTGTATCTTATATACTGGGAGCAGTCTTCCCGTTGGAGTGTAGAAGACTGCTTCATTAATTGCATGTACTGTTGACTTGACCGGTTGGACCTTCGACTTGCTATTTTGGGGGCGTAAAGATACTCGCATGGTCAATCATCAGCTTTAAATATCTCTTCGTATGTACATCATTAAATGTGCATTTAATGCGTGTACAGTACCATGTTTCCGTTGAAAGGTTCGTAACCGTTAGGGGATTTCCCGTTAGTTTAACGACCGTTGGAAAGGCTTCCGGAATCTGGTGGGTTTAGCAGAGGCTTAAGAGGTTCTCTGGTCCAATCTCTGAAGTCCGTCTCTGTTGCCAACTCTGGTATCTTTCTGATGACCAGTTTCTGATGACTTCTCTGGTGAGCAACTCTGGGAGCAACTCTGGTAGAGGCAGGATGGAACTCTGGCAGACAGACTAAGCTAAAACTTACAAAAGAAATTCTAATACACAATTTCTAATGGGGTACTTTCAAATTCTAATTGACCTAGCATCATCAAAATCTAAATACATTTATTCCTTACAGCAATCATCAACAATGACCACCGGGGGGCTTTTCTTCCCGGCATCCCCGGTCTTGGGCTTTTTGCTCTCAAGAGCCTTGCCCGTGCCTTTCCTCTTGGCAGCGGCGGCTGCATCAGTGTTTGGGGCCGCCGATGGCCCCTCCGGCTTCTTGAAGAAGTCACCGGCGGGTTTTGGGGCACCCGCATCCGTCCCCCTCGGGGCCTTGGAAGGTTTTTTCTTCTTCAGATCTGCGAGCCCCTTGACATTCATCATATTGACTGGGATACCTTCAAAAACAGTGTGGGGTTAAAACCGAGGGGTTACTATCAGATGACACAAAAAAGAAACGAACTAGCAGATGGACTATCTGCTAAGATATAAAATAAGGGTGCCCTCAGCCACTACCTCCGGAGGCTCCCTCGAACGCCGGGAACTTCTCATCTGTCTCTCCCAGGAAGCGATACCGCCTGAACCCGAGGGTGTAGAGATCCTCCTCCTTGGTGCACTCCTTAATGGTGATGTTTTTGTCCCGGCCCTCCGGGATCTTGGCCAGGATCCTGCCGTCTTTCTCGAGGGCGGCACTTCTCCTCTTCTCATGCCTCCTAAACCGGTCACGCAATTCCCTCGGGAAGGGGCTCTCGGTCAGCCTCACGTAGCACCACCGGTCTTTCCACCCTTTGTTCGAGGAGGGCGCCTCAGTAAAGAGCTTGAAGAGGGCCACCTGTTGTAAGTTGGCGAAGCCCTCGGCATTCGCGTGCCCCCCCCCCCCCCCCCCCCCCCCCGCACAAATTAAAGCTCTGGAAGAAGAGGTTCAGGCTAGGCGTCACCCTCGGGACTCGCAGAGCTGGAGGAAGCCAGTAATATATGAATGGTTGTTCGGGGTCAGCTGGCAGGGGACCAGACCCACGAACCGAAGGTACTCCCGGGGGAATGGGTGCAGGGGGAAGCGGAGCCCCATAGACACCGAGAGAACGTGCACCGCAATACAGCCCTCGGGAGCCCGGGAGAGGATGTCATCTGGGCCCGGTGTCACCACGATGGCCGAGGGGCCCACGTGAAGCTGAGTGACATAAATATCCGCCGCGTCAACCTTCGACCTTATCTCCAAGGCGGCGGTGTTCAGGTAGGAGTACCCCTCGGGCATATCGAGGGGCTTCCCTTTATCTGCAACGCTGCCCTTTTTCTTCTTGGGAGCAGCTACCTTGGCCTTCTTTTTTCCGAGGGCCACCCGGATGGGAACCGCGTTCAGCGGCCGAGAGGTGCTGGCCTCACCAGCACCCCGAAGGGGGAGCACAGCAACGGTGACCCTCGCGCTTTCTCTTTGCGCCTCCTCTTCAGCTGCTTGCCAGGCTAAGGCCAGCTCTTCGTCCTCGCATTCTTGCTCGAAGCTCTCGGCTTCCGCCTCAGCAACGAGGGCTTTCTGCAGCTCCAGGGTAACGGCGGCGTCCTGTCCCACCGAAGACTGTGCACTTGAGGACTCCACGCCCGAGAGGACTTCATCCTCCATCGAGGGCGCCCCCGAGATGTCTTGAGAGTCACTCTGGGACGACATTCTGACTCTAGTTCGAGGGCTCGTAGACGCTAGTGGTTTCTAAATATTCTATCTCCTAGCCTAAGGGTCCAATACAGCTAGCTAAGAGGTGAAATTCGAATGGAAAACTGACCTTGAGAACAAAGGATTCAACCGAGGGCGGCCGTTTCTCTCTCTAGAAATTTTGGCAGAGCTTCGCTAAGGATGTTGGATGCGTAAAGAAGGAATGGCATTGGCTTGGGGTATTTATAGGCGCTGGAATCCGGGCTTGGGCCCGGAAACCGGGCCTCCGGACGGACCGTCATCATTACGCACCGTCGTTTCACCCAACCAGTGACGCCCGCCCACGAGCAGTTAATGGCTACACTCCACGTGTACCCCCCCCCCACGGCTATAACTTGACGTTACATATTCCAACGGCTATATTTCCAACGACTATATTCTGGGAGCCCCCGGATTTTCTTACATCACTCCACTTCATCAAGGAGAGCCTCCGGGTACACTTACCCAGAGACGCCCCCGGTTCGTGCCCCACACAGTACATAACAGACGCCTTCGGCATCACTCCTTCAGAAGCCCAAGGCTTCATATCAGGCCACCCCTCGGGGATTCCCCCTCAGCACTGTAAGGGCCGAATAGCCCCCGGGGAGTATGCCTCATTGACGGATAGCCTGCAGCACGCAGGCAATGGGAGCCCCCGGATACCCCCATCACCAACTAATCAACAAGCAGGGGACCCCCCGGTGACAACTCAACTACTGCCCTCATTCATCACGCCCTCGATCCCCAGAACGAGGGCCCCCCCGGTACCTCCCAGGACATCAATAGCGTGCCTTCGGCAATACAACAAACATGCCCTCGGACTATGAGAGCCTTCGGCATCAACATTTCGCTTCATTCCAAACCAAGGCTTTAACCTTTTTGATTCATCCTTGGGGGAATTCGGTGCACTCTTTTTCCCTCATTAGGATTTTTTCCCACAGGGTTTTTCCTAATGAGGTTTTTAACGAGGCATCCCCCCAAAATGAAACGAAAAGCGTCAGCCTTCGGCCCACAACAGCAACACAACTACTCTACTCCTTTTCACCACTTTACAAGTGCCTCAAGGAGTGGGGGACTCGAGGACCCCCTCGGGAAAATCATTAAATCACAAAATTGGTGAAAAATTCCAACAAACGGCAAAGCAAGCCCTCAAGTCCCGACATGTGGGTAACTGAGGGACTGCCTTCGGCAGGGACATGCAAGCGACAAACCAACCTCAGAAGACACAAATTTCTCCTTTTCCCTCAAGTACCTTTCGGCAAAAGGAGTGAGGGACTCCTGATGGAGTATATGGCCCGGGAACACCCGGCCCACAGACTCCTACTACTCCAGTGAAAGCCCAAAAGGCCCAACAGGCCCAAATCACAGCGCCCAGAGTACCAAGCAGCCCGCAAAGCGCACCAAGGGTGCCTTCGGCCCCCCGACCGAAGGCCCTAAACTCTCACAGAACGGGTTTTCCAAGCAAACTAAGAAACTGGGAGAAAAACGGCAGAAAAAAGTAGCCCTCGGCACTCAGGGGTCCTCGGCACCAAGAGCCCTCGGCTAGTCCTCTGCAGCCGAGGGCACCTCTCCCGACATGATGTCTGCCTCACATGCGTACAGATCACCGTACCCTGTACAACGTCCCATCCAACAGCCGCATTAAATGCGGCCACATGCGTTTGCCAGCGCCAACCGGATGAGGTGACCTCTCGGCCAATGGGCGCTTGACACGTGTCCCTGTCCGGCATTTATTGCTACTATAAATAGCACCTCATTTCCCCATTTGTAACCACGACATTCATACTGAATACACTCTCTCTCTTACTTGTGCTCTGACTTCTCTCTAAGTTATTCTCAGCAATAACCCCTCGGATAAGCTACCCCCCGGTACACTATCCATCATATATATATATATATATATATATATATATATATATATATATATAAATATATATATAGGGTTGAGATCACATACAAACTAGTTCTCCCTTACAAACTACAAACTAATCTCATCCGTCCGTTATTAAGAAATAAAGAGCCATGATACGTAAAGTGTACTGTTGTGTGTGTGGTGACATACATAGAATAAAATAACTCAAATCCTATTAGCATCCAACGATTAATGAGAAGGTCACATGGGTAAATTCAATTTAAACTTATCAAGCCGTAAATTTAAAATTGGAAATATAATAATGTCTAAATCCCACCATTTATGCTAACTACCCACTAACTTTCCACTAATATTTTAACCGTTCAAATATATGAAGTTATATTAAGGAAAGTTGCATAGTCTCTACATTTTTTTACTTTTTTTTGAAAATCGAACATCATTGCACGATTTAAAGATCTTCTAATAACATTTTGATTATAATTTAAATTTGTAAGAAGCTCATACAGGTAGAAGTGTCTGCATATATACTTAGTTCATGTGATGTGCATATTAATGTTACATGATGTGCATATTAAGGTTAAGTGATGTGCATTATAAATTTAAAACGTCTCCATAACATATTAAAATTGCACAATGATAAAATATGTCAACGCTGCATTCTAGTAAGTCATATGTTGCGTTTTATCATTATGATATCTGCATTTTATGTTCATATATTGCATTTTAGTAAGATGATATGCTCACTTTAGAAGTTCATACTGCATCTTATCCTTATGGCATCTGCCTTTAAGTAGTTCATATGTTGCATTTATTATTACGGAATGTGCATTTTAGAAGTTCATACACCACATGTTACTAAGATGGGATATGCATTTTAGAAGTTCATATCGTGCATCTTATTATTATGAGTTTGTATATTGCACTTAAATAAGATGATATGTGCACTTTAATAGTTCATACCGCATGTTATTGTTATGCCATCTGCATTATACTAGTATACTCAATTCACATGCATACGTAATTCATGAGAACACAAATGCAAAATATATAAGAAATTTATTCTAAATGCTAAAGAAATACAACACTTTTGTTACTAAATTTACAAGAACTTTGTATGAACACAAAATTGATGGATTTCATAAAAGAAAAATAATGTTTTTGTAGCGTTCATAATATAGTTCAGGCATTCGAGAACTAATGGTCTGATCTCTGGCGTCTCCTTATACGTGCCGGAATTCAGGACATTCGAATAGAAGAACACCAATCTGATTCTATTAAAATTTGAGATTGAGGAGGAGATGGAGATGGAGAAGAGATAGAAATGGTGAAGCTTTGATCCTAAAGATATGGCTGAATGAACGTGCAAGAGAGAAATAATTGAACGTAATCAGACATGATTTTATTTCTAAAAATAAAATATACCTAAAAGACTAATAAGCCCTTAATTGTCTAATATAATCAAGATGAAAGCTACGGTTCTATCAACTAAAATAGAGGGCTGAGATCTATTTGCATTTTGTAAATTAAGAAGACTTTGTATATGTTCCCAATTATATATATATATATATATATATATATATATATATATATATATAGGGGTTAGTTCTTGTAAGAACACCCTCTTAATTAAGAGAGCAAAAAAGATTAAAATCGAACCATTGACTCGTGTGATCTTGCGGCTTAGATGAGGGCTTGGGTTTTTAAATAACACATGCTCCATGATTGAGGGAAAAATGGAAAGAAATGCATGTGTTTAATTATGAAAGGGCATTAAAGTAAAAGGACTTTAATTTGGGTGGCCGTTTTTAACTTACAAGTCAATACCATCCTTAAAAATCTCAATCGTTTTTCTATTTTCAACAAATAAACTCCAATTTTCTCTAATTAAAAGTTAGGGGCTGTTATTATGAAGTTGGAAGTTTCCTAGTAATTAGCTAGGAAAGCAATTAAATTATATTCTCTTGTGAGTTGTTTTACAATACGTACTTCCTTTTAATTTGATAGTTTTTAAATTACTTTTCATGAATATATTTTTACTTTTTTTTGCATTATTTGCGTACTTTATCAAAACAACATGTATCGTATTTGCACTCCAGCATAAAATAAATGCTTTTTTTAAAATTTTATGCAACATCAATGAAACACATGTAAAGAAAAATGACACTTTTATTATATTATTCTGCACTTTTGTAAACTGCACGTTTGTGTTATTAACTTGCACTTTGTTTTAAGAAAATCCTTCAATGTGCATTTCTAAACTCAATTAAATGGTCTTAAATAAAACGAAAATAAATATACAAGAGTATTATAATAAACTTTCTATAACTTTATATCGACATTTTTTACAAAATCAAATGCACTTTTTATTCCAAAAGCATCACAATTGCTCTATTGGTACTGCATCATATATGCAACAAAAGAAAAAAAATTAAAACCTAACGAAAGTGCATGACCAAAGCATGATAAGTGCATCAAAAACTTTTTCTTCAATGAAGATCTGCAAAAACTAAACGATCGTATTTAAATGATTATGAATCTAATTTAGTAGGAGAAGATAAACTGTAAATTGAAGAACATGAATAGTAGGAACAATAAACTTAATAATCAGGAGAATCCATGATTATAGAGATATAGATGTAATAAATTATATAAGTTTGATAAACTTCATAAAAAAATTACGCAAACTAAATTGGCTTACTAGCATCCATAGAGAGGAGATGATCTTGTTCCAAAAGTCATCCTACTTGACACGCTAAAGAGATGAGTCGACGATGAAGATTAGAATAATGGAAATTAAGAAACGTGATTTGGAAAGGAAATTAATAGAGAAAATGTTATCACTTCCTAAATAATAGGGAAACAGTTCTAAGATAGAGATGACCGTGAATTGGAAAGAAACGTATTGACTTCGATACCCTCTAGGAAGATTTAGGCACATGGTTAATTAGAAGTTAATCCAATGGCTCACATCTATCTTTTTTGCTCTCCTAAGATTAAGTTCGAACCTAAATCTATTATATATATATATATATATATATATATATATATATAGAGAGAGAGAGAGAGAGAGAGAGAGAGAGAAGATCAAGTGAGAAGTACCTCTTCAAATGAGAAGTGAGAAGCAATCTCAGTCCTTGGATTTGCATCTAATCTTACAACGCAGTAAACTTATAGACTGAATATAGGAACTTATAACCAATAAATCATAAATTATAAAGCTCTCCATCATAATTACGAAAATGCCACCGCGTCCAAAAAATTTCAAGGTTTCCAGGCTTATTTTTTTGCGGTGGCATTTTCGTAATTATTTTCGACAGGGTCTGTAAGTTATGATTTATTGATTAAAAGTTCGTGTTTTTAGTCTATTAGTTAAACTTCGCAGTTCTCAGCCTAAGGTCACTTCTCACATGATCCACTCCCTATATATATACACCTTATAGGTGTGTGTATTGTGTGCTTATGTGCACAACAAGAACAACTAATTTAGCATAGATTGTCCTTGCCAAAACATTAATGTGGCACGAATTTTGGAATGGAATCTCTTGAACCCGTGGTGAATTCATGAAAAAATTGTGTCAAATCCATTTTGTTGCGAACTATGGTGAATTCATGAAAAGATTATGAGCCTGTTTGGATTTCAGCGAGTGAAGCAAACCGTCATTTTTTTACACAGCAAAATGCTGCTATTAGCAGCAGATTGGGCACAAACCACTGAAATCCAAAAATCCATGTGCCAATTTCGTTCTTGGTGTGTTTTTAGAGTTTTTGATAGAATACACATTAAATTTTATGAGAAATGGGGAATAACTAGCTTACTAGCATACATTAGATTTTAGATTTAAAACTCAAAAGAAGTTTATATGGAGTAGTTCATTAGGTTTGATTTAAGACGTACGCTGTGCACCATATATATGTGTTTGAGCCCATTTCGTGACGCTATTTTTGACTTATCAAGCTTATCAGACAGTTTTTTAATCAAACATGTAACTTTTGATTTTGCGAATTGAATTATGTAATAATAAGAAAAAGTAAGGTTGAAGTTACTTTTCTTGCTGTATCGGCTAAAGTTACTGTAGATGATCATTTTAGCTATTTTTCATATAATTTTTTCTTTAGTTTATTAATAAAATATATTAAGTATTATTTTTTCATAAATCGGCAGAATCAGCCGATTTTAGTGTTACAAAACGAACTTTTATGTGCGTGTAATTCACTTTTATAGTTTTATTTCATGAAATGAATTGCGCGGAAGGTCTACCAAAATTCCTTATATCCCACAACAAATACTCAATTCTATAGATGAGTAAACTTTTTGGTGGGAGAACATTATGGGCTAATCTTTTAGATAATATAGCATTTTGTCCTCCATTCATGACATTTTAATATTTACGTTGCATAATTTATTTATCTCTTGCATATATGTTGTTGTATTTTAAGTTTTTAACAGGCCAAGCAAGAAGCCAAGAACTGGTCACTGATTGTTGGGTTTACACTTTACATCAACACGCACGTTGAATTGGGACCTTGCGTGAAAGGTTTCAACATTTTCCTTGTAATAATTATTATATTCCATCTCTTAATTGCTCGTTTGTTAGTGTTGATATAATCATACCAATAATATGATTTCGTAAGTTGGCAAGTCCAATCATCAAAATAAAATAAAAAATAAAAAATAAAAAATAAAAACTTAGGCAACACTCATCTTTCAAGGCTACAACCTACAGCTCATTATTATTATTAATTTATTATGATAATAAAAATAAACAAACCCAAAACATATTTTACAGCAAAATACTTCCAAACCTCACTTTATCCTATTAATTTAAGCTTGATACAAGAGATTTGCCATTAACATATACAGTATTACGGAGTAACTAACAAAATAGAAGTAGAGTTTTTGAAGAAACTAAAATAGAAATGTAGAACAGCAAATCGGAGCTCATTTTCTAATAAAGAATCAATTTAAATACTTATTTTTGTTCTTTGGGTTTAAATTCAAAATTTTAGCTTATCCGAATTCAGTGTTATTTGTATTATAAAAAATTTAATTAAAATTCTAAATTAAATTTAATACGGAGAAGTTAACATCTATGTTGCATGAAATGTGAAAATCGCGAGTAAACAAGAAACATCATCTTTAAATAAAAAAACAATTGTTTGAACAATTTTTAAAGAGTTTTTGTAGAGGAGTTATCGAGATGAAAACGTACTCTTTCTTGAGAATTTCAGTACTTCTTAGATTAACATTAATCTCAATATTATTAGAAGTGAATTGACTTAACTTACACCAAATTAAAGTTCTGATCCTAAACTATAAAAGTAGTTAATTTTCGTGCTCAATACATTGATGTATTACACGAGAGGGCAGGACATATAGAGTCGGCTTGACGGGAACCGTTGTCAGGCTAAGGCCATTTGGGGTCCTTCTAGGTGAAAGCCCGACATAGTCTGTAATATCCCGAAACTTTGAGAGAATTTGGGAAATAATTAAAATTGTGTTTCATATTGTTTACACGGTCTTTAGGTCGTTTATTATGTTTGGTTTAGTGTTTGGGACAAAGGGGAGGTCCAAATGGGGAAGAAACGGGGCAAAAACTAAGGTTTGGGGCGTCTGGGGGTCACACACGGCATGCGTGGAAGGTACGCACGCGTGCGTTTCTGTTGTATCCTAATGCAACTCAAACTTCGGAAATTCACTATAAATACATCCCTAATCCGATTTTCCTCATTCCAAAAACCCTAGGACCGCCTCTTCAAGCTTTATCCCTTCCAGCTCTTCAATATTAACGTATCCAGCACGAAATTTTATGCCAATGATGAGATCAAACAATTCAATATTCCGGTAAGTGCGTTTGTTGCCTAATTCGCGTCGTTCATCCGTTTCCTAAATTTCTTTCTCCTAAATTGAGATCCTTCGAACCTATCACTTCCTAGGTACGTGCGAATGATCCATCAAACTAGGTTTGACGTTTAGGATTCGTTGCTAGCCTCGAGGTAAGGACTATTGCAACCAAAATTACTATTTTGCCTCTATATTGTATAAACTAGGGTTTGTGCTATGATTTGAGTTTCTTTCTGAAATTTTATGGATAATTCGGCTATCATAGTATGAGTATGATGATGTATGCTTTTCTGGGAATTTATGAACGTGTGATTTTTGGTGAATTTATCAAATCAGTTTATCATGGCTAAAATTGTGATTTTTGATGATTTTTCTTTTGGGATTGGAAAATTTTGGTGATTGTTTTGGTATGAGTTGAAGTATGATTTGAGACTATTATAACTGGTTATATTGAAAATATATTATGGGTTCAGAATACTCCAATTTGATTATTTTGGTGGTAGTAGTAAATGCTACTTTTGGGAAGTGGTTGTTTGGGTTAAACCCTCACTAGTAGAAATTTGTTAAATTGCGTCACGTCATTTGAGGCGCTTAATAAACAAGCGCCTTCAAAATATACGACGTGCGGCGCTTATTTATAAAAGCGCCTCTAATATGTGTTTAATTTTTAATTATTTAAATTTTTTGGGTCTTTGCGGCGCTTATTTATAAAAGCGCCGCAGACTGACGTCAAATTTTTATTGAAAAAAACTAATTTTTTTGAAAATCGGATTTTTAAAAGAGGCGTGCGGCGCCTATATGCAGAAAAGCGCCGCATACGGATTTAAAAAATTCGGATTTTTAAAAGGGGCGTGCGGCGCCTTTTTGTAAAAAGCGCCGCAGAAGATAAACTACTTTTTTAAAAAATTCGGATTTTTTAAAAGGGGTGTGCGGCGCCTTTTTTTAAAAAGCGCCGCAGAAGATAAACTATTTCTTAAAAAAACCGGATTTTTAAAAGGGACGTGCGGCGCCTTTTTGTAAAAAGCGCCGCATAAACTGTTCCAGATTATTTCGACCTGGTCGCGTCGTTCGCAACAATCATTTCAGTTTGGAACCCTACAGAAACCGCCGACCCCAGCCGTCGCACCTACTCCGTGGCCCAGCCGTCGCACCTCCGCCGCCTCCGCCGTCGCACCTACTCCAGCCGTCGCACCTCCGCTCACCTTCGTTGCCCTCGAAGCTCAGCATCTCCGCCGCTCAATCTAGCCACATCCGTAGAGGCTCGTCCGCGTCAACGGTGCGTCGAGCTCCGGTCCGCTTGCCGCCGTCGAGCTCCGGTCCGCACCTACTCCAGCCCAGCCGTCGCACCTCCGCTCACCTTCGTTGCCCTCGAAGCTAAGCATCTCCGCCGCTCAATCTAGGCACATCCGTCGAGGCTCGTCCGCGTCAACGGTGCGTCGAGCTCCGGTCCGCTTGCCGCCGTCGAGCTCCGGTCCGCTTACTCCAGCCATCGGTCTCCCATTTCACAGCAAGTATGTATATTATTTTAATAATAATTTTTTTCAATATTTTTTATTTTAATTAATTTTGAGTAACATAATTTTGGAATAGTTGTAATGAGCAGCTAAACACTTCCAAGAGGTTGTTTTATATTAGCATAACCCTCAATTGCAATCTTACATAAAAAGTGTGCTTAAAAAGAAAAAAAGTATGCAATAATTTATTTGAGAAATGTATGGTTTGAGAAATACTTCTCAATTTTTCAATGGTGTTCATGAGTTTTTGAAAGTGGCTGTTGCGCATCAGAAGCAACAAGGACAAAAAGGAATTTTATGTCCTTGTTCAATGTGTCGTAACATTAAAAGAGAGAATGACGTGAACATAGTTCTTTAGCATTTATTTGAGAAGGGTTTTAGAGAAAACTATATGACATGGACATTCCATGGTGAGAATCGTGTGGATGTCGAACACCTTTTTTCTGGAGCAACTTCTAGTCATCTAAAGCGTAAAGCTACTCATATTACTACTACTTCAAATGATATTGATGATGATGTTGCGGCTGATGATGCCAATGAAGATAGAGTTGATGAACTCTTGAATGATGTTTATGATAATTTTGATTATCAACCAAAATCTTATGAGAATTTGATTGAGGCCGCCAATATACCGCTATTCACGGGTTCTGAATTCTCCAAACTATCTGCTGTTCTCAAATTATTTCACTTGAAAGCTAAACATGGGTGGAGTAATGTTAGTTTCACTGAGTTGCTGATATTGCTTCAAGAAATGCTTCCATAAGGAAATACACTTCCCGATACGAGCTATAAGGCTAGAAAGTTGTTGTGTCCAATGGGAACAGAATGGGAGAAGATTCATGCATGCCCAGCCGATTGCATACTGTACCGCAATGAATATGAAAACCTAAATGAATGTCCAAAGTGTCACGCTTCACGTTATAAGAAGAAGAAGGGTATTAATGTTGGGTTTGATGCTGAATACACCAAAACACCCGCCAAAGTGTTGTGGTATCTTCCTATCATTCCTAGATTTAAAAGATTATTCATGAATGAGAAAGATGCAAAAAACTTAGTGTGGCATGCTCAAGGCAGGAAAAAAGATGAGTACTTGCGACATGTATCTGATGCACCACAGTGGAGGCAAATTGATTTGAAATATCCTGATTTTGGCAAAGAAGACAGGAATTTGAGACTTGGATTATGCACTGATGGTATGAATCCATATGGCACATTGAGTAGTCAACATAGTACTTGGCCAGTTTTATTGGTTATTTATAATTTGCCTTCATGGTTGTGCATGAAGAGGAAGTACATAATGTTGTCTTTGCTTATCTCGGACCACAACAACCCGGTAATGATATTGATGTGTACCTCGCACCATTAGTTGATGATCTTAAACTTATGTGGAATGAGGGTGTTACAGCATATGACATGCACACAAAAACAAATTTTAATTTGCGTGCTTTGTTGTATTGCACTATTAATGACTTTCCAGCTTATGGAAATCTTTCTGGATATACAGTTAAAGGTGGAAAGGCATGTCCCATTTGTGAAGATGACACTCTTGATTTGCGATTACCCAATTGCAAAAAGAATGTATACATGAGTCATCGAAGATTTCTTCCACGAAACCATCGTTATCGTGCACTCAAAAAGGCATTTAATGGAAAAGCTGAACACGGTGTTCCTCGACGTGTATTAAGTGGATCAGAAATATATGATAAGGTCAAAGATTTGAACACGGTTTTTGGTAAGCCATATAAGCGGAACAAACAGAGTTTGTGGAAGAAGAAGTCTATTTTTTGGGAACTTCCGTATTGGAAGGACTTATCTGTGAGGCATTGTCTTGATCTTATGCACATTGAAAAAAATGTGTGTGACAGCATCATTTCGACCATTATGAATGTTCCCGGAAAGACAAAGGATGGAATTAATATCCGAAAAGACATGATTGAGCATTTAAATATTCGAAAAGAATTGGCACCACAACCGCGGGAAAATGGTTTTTATCTTCCACCAGGTTGCTACACACTCTCAAAGGTTGAGAAACGAATTTTTTGTGAAAGCTTATATGGCATCAAAGGGCCTTCTAGGTATTCTTCAAATTTTAAGAATCTCGTATCATTGAAGGATATGAAATTGGTTGGTTTGAAGTCTCATGATTATCATGTTCTGATGCAACATTTGTTGCCTGTTGTTCTACGAGGGCTTTTACCTGATCATGTTAGATGTGCGATCATGAGATTGTGTTTCTTCTTCAATTCCATATGTCAGAAAGTAATTCACCCTGAGAAACTTGATGCGTTGCAAGCTGAAGTGGTTATTACATTGTGTCAGCTTGAAATGTATTTTCCACCTTCACTATTTGACATTATGGTGCATCTTGTGGTACATCTGGTTAGAGAAGTCAAGATGTGTGGTCTTGTGTTTTTACGATACATGTACGGAATGGAAAGACATATGGGATATTTGAAATCAAAGGTGAAAAATCGATGTCGACCTGAAGGAAGTATAATCAGGGGTGTAGTTGATGAAGAAGTCATTGAATTTTGCACACCTTATTTGATGAATGTTGAATCATTAGGTGTTCCAAAGTCTAGACATGATGATAGGAATGAAGGAAAAGGCATACTTGGAAAGAAATTACTAAAGAATGTGGACAATGAGTTAGTGGAAAAGGCCCATCTTCTCGTGTTGCATCATTTAGAAATTATTTCTCCATATGTGCAACAACATATGAATGCTTTGAAGACTCAATTTCCGTTGAAAAGTGAAGTATGGTTGACTAAAGAACACAATCGTATGTTTTCATCTTGGTTTAAAGACTTCATCTTCAATGACAGGAATGATGTTTATAATGAGGTTGATGAAGATGTTAAGTGGTTGGCTTATGGTCCTAAATGCACAATTGATTCATATGAAGCATACGATATCAATGGCTACACCTTTTATACTACCCGACAGGATGCCAAATCTGTATTACAGAATAGTGGGGTATCAGTGGTAGCATCTTCAACAGAATATGCAAGTTCAAATGATCAGAATCCTCTTTATGCAACAATGTCTTACTATGGAAAAATTGAGGATATATGGGAGTTGAATTACACGAATAGGAGTTTTTCACTTTTCAAGTGTCAGTGGGCCGATATTCGAAGAGGTGTTCAGCGTGATCAAACAGGAGTGACATTAGTGGATTTTACTCGACCCGGATATCGTGATGATCCGTTTATACTTGCATCCCAAGCTGAACAAGTTTTTTATGTAGAGGATCCCTCAAACAAACGATGGTCAGTTGTTTTACCAGGTAAGAAAAAATTAAATGTGGATGATTGTGACGTTGGAGAAGATGATTATATTGAAGATATGCCGTCATTGTCCACTGGCATGCATGACAGAAATGCAACAATCGATTACAATGAAGATGATCTTTCATTTGTTGGAAATCATAACGATGGCATAGAAATTTTCTTCAAAAAGTCAAAGTGATATCATGAGTGAATTGTAAGTAATCTTAACGTTATTATGTTTTTTTCTTGAATTAAAATTCATTTTTCTTTCATATATTATTTGTGCTTCTAATAATAACACTGTTGCAGGAGCTACACACTATGAGTGATAGTGATGGAGATGAGTTTATTCTCAATGAGGAACCTCATGTTACGGCGGAGGAACATAGTAGCAGTGGGCGCAGAACTAGCGACGGGAAAAAAATAGTTGATTTTGATAAAAATGGTCAGCCAGTTGGTGCGTGGGCGGAGAAGTTCAAATCTTTTGTGGGCAAGATAGTACGTGCTCGGGTAAACATCAACATTGAAAGTTGGAAACATGTCCCCGAATCCCTAAAATTGCAGATGTGGAAAGAGATCCAGGTATGTACACTTAATTATATATTTTAACTTTATTAATAATAAGAAAAGATTACAAGTCCTAATGCATATATTAAGTCATCTATATGTTATTATTATTTAAGTTTGTTTTTTGTTTCAATGGTTTTTACAGGTTTTGAGCAATGTCCTCTTTTAGTTCCAAATGAAAATGCTGATATATATGTGTTGACAGACGCTATAGGATCATTTGTTGAGTGGCCTAGTCATTTAGTTTTTTTTGAAGGAGAGGTGAATAAATAACTCTTTGCAATTATCAAACAATACAAAATTACTCTATGTTACTGTCATTCTGACCATTTTTTTAGGATCAGGTAAAGTCAAAGCGGAAAGATGTGATTCAAAAGAATAAAGCTTTTATTCCGAGAGAGTCTCCTCGGATTGTGGTTCCTCCTAGCACATACCCATTGGTTAGTGATACTATTTTGCAGTCACTAACTGAAGATTTATTGGAGCTACATGAGATGCTAGAGTGGTATGAGCCAGAGGTGTGTAAATTCTCTATTGCTTTACCTGTTGATGCTTTTCACTATCCGCAAAACAGTGAATTTGGGACTATCATCGATCGTAAAGACTTGACTGAACTACTCGAGGGTGATTCTGTGGATATGTGCATCATTCAATCCTTTGCATTGTAAGTATTTTAAATAAATATAACAATATCTAAATTAAAGTTAATGAAATGATTTGAACTTCAAAATTGTATAATGATGCTATATTATGTTTATTATAGGTGTGCCTTAGCTAAATTGAATGATTTGCAACGTGATGATGTTGTGTTTTTGTGCCCCTTATTGTGTTCTTATGGTTCTTATCAACTTGACAAGAAGGACACAATAACATATATGAAACAATCTTTGTGTGCGACATTTGGAAAAAGAATGATCTTGCTTCCATATAATGAAGGGTAAATAGTTTTATTTTATATAATGTATCTGCTTATGTAAATTTAATTTTTTAATTAATTGTAATTTTTTTGATATTTAGATTTCATTGGATTTTGATAGTCATTTGCCCCTCGGTTAATAAAGGTTATATCTTCAATTCAATCCCAAGCTTTTCTAATATCAACATTCAGAAAGATCTAGCATTGTAAGTATTCTTTTAATATTTTTTATTTATAATAATTGCTATAGATTATTATTATTATTATTATTTATATCATTTAACATAAATTTTTTAATGTAGAGCATACAGAGTTGCTTCCGCAAGAAATGGTGATGGAAAGCCAATCACATGGCATAATGTTAAGGTAAATTCATCAATAACTTATTTCAATCACCATTAACTTTGATACATATATTTTGTAAATTTGTATTTCAAAAAAGTGTGCCAGACAAAACGGAAACACAGAATGCGGATATTATACCATGCGATACATATGGGAAGTGATTTCGTATGTTGATAGCTTTGATATTGGAAAGGTATATCATTATTTATTCTTATTTTTTAACTTTGTTTAATTTTTTCTAATTTAAAAGTTGTAATATTTTTTATTTATGTTTTATTTTATCTAAATATTTGTAGGATTGGTATTCAAGAACTGAGGCATATTCTGAAGATGAGTTTAATAACATTCGCAATATATGGGCACGATTTTTCTTGGATGTACTCTTAAATATGTAAAAGTTGATTACATTAGTTATGTATTGTGTTAAGTGTTTTTTGAAATCATTTTTATGAAGATTTTTGTAATCTGTTGGTTACTTGAATTGCTTACACTTTGTTGATTTTGTAATTTGTGAAGTTCATGTTGTTGATATTGTGATGACTTTAAACAGTTTACACTTTTTGAATTTTGTTAATTCTGTTACAGGACGTTTTTGAAAGATCCTAAATATAATTGAATATTTTAAAAAAATGTTGAAAATTTGCGGCGCTTATTTACAGAAAAGCGCCGCACGGTTACGTATTAAATTATTAATTTAAAAAATGTTTGCGGCGCTTATTTACAGAAAAGCGCCGCACGGTTACGTATTAAATTATTAATTTAAAAAATATTTGCGGCGCGTATTTACAGAAAAGCGCCGCACGGTTACGCATTAAATTATTAATTTAAAAATATTTTGCGGCGCTTTTTTAAAATAAGCGCCGCACGCGTTAAATTGCGGCACCGAGATGTGCGGCGCCTGAAAGCGCCGCACGTTGGTTGATTTAAGCGCCGCAAAAAGGCAATTTTGCACCAGTGCCTCTTTTTGGAAAGTGTTGTGAGATCAAATCTTTTGGGATAAATTATATATTTTTAAATGTATAATTTGGTATGAAAATTTACATATATATTCTGGAGTTATAAATATCCTTATTGGATTATTTTGAATATGGTATTAAATACTATTTTGGAACTAGTTTTGGATAAACCCTAAATTGTAAGTTTCTCTGCCGATCCAAAATGATTTCCTCGTATTATATGTTATTATTTGATTAAAGTGTGAATTTTGATTATGTATTATTTGAAGTGACATTAAATTTATAGTATTTGAGAATGTTGAGATATTGGGGTATTAAATATTTTTAAACACCATTGAGAATATTTGGAGACTTGAGAAATATTATGTGCTATGTGGTTATTATGTGCTATGTGATTATGTATTGAGTTTTTGAATTATGTATATGTGTTATTTAAAGAGATATTTAATCTATAGTATTTGAGAAATACAAACTATGTACTTTTGGGGTATTAAATACTTTTAAACACCTTTTAGACTATTTAGAGAGTTTGGAAAATATTTTGAAGTGTATCTTGATTCAAGATGAAAATTAACATTTTCATAAGAGGTGAGCACCCTGGGAGAAATCCGTGGTGTCGGTTTTTCATATCCGGATAAATGTGGAGAATTGTTAGGGCTACTACTACTTGAAGAGAACAAGTTTAGTGGCCGTTTCGATTCAAGAGATAGTGATGGGAACTGGATTGCGGGATGAGTTCGTAAATAACAACGACTCATTGGGCTTCGGGCATAAGTATCCCAAAGTACCGTCCATCTTAAAAGAAAGTAGGAGATTTTGGTTTTGGAAAGAGGAAGACTATGGAGGTTATTTTCAAAGAGCAATTGAGTATATTTAAAAAGAGTGATTAGCTATAAATTATATTTTGAAAAGTGATACTTGTATATGAATGTGTGAGTTACTAAGAGTTTATAAATATTATTTTAAACACCAAATTAGTTTTGTGGAAAGAAAATGAATTTTTAAAGTTATAGTTATGTATAAAACTATTTTCGCCAAACGTGATTATTTTACGGGGTTGGGTGGGCCTTACTTAGCTAAAAAGCTAATTTTTGTTTCCTTTTCTTTGTTTTGTTTTCTGCACTTTAATTGTGCAGGTGATGAAGGTTATGCATGATGATGAGAGCTGCGTTAGATCACGTAGTTTAGTATTTAAAATCACCTAGTTATTGTTTATTTCAGTTTGAGAACATGTAGACATTTAAATTATTTTTGAAATTTTCAGTACTTAAATACTTGGATTATTTTTGGATGGTGGTTTAGCCTGTGCATTCGGTTATGTGAGAACCGAGTGTGGCGGTAACACTCATTTCTCTATTAAGACTTCCGTTGTATCTCTGATGTTTTCAAATAAAGTTGATAATTCCTTTGAATAAATCATTATTTAAATGTGTTTTTGGTTGGGGAAAATGGGGGTGTTACATAGTCGACCGCAAAGAAATTCTGGAAGCCTGGCTTCACTCGAATTTCTTCACACCGGTTCCCTATCGCCTTCATCTCCATGAGGAACACGATCATCGACCTCTTCGATTGCACCACATCGGACATCAGACAGAACTCATATCTTATTGTGTGTTTTTTCGTTTCAAACGTATTGTATCTCGTTGGAAAGACCATTTTTAGTTCTAAAGCTAGTATTCCGACTCAATTTACAATACATTGAGTACAAGGTACATATTGACCTGAAATTCACAAACATTTGTGATTTCATTTTTGATGATATTTTTTAAATTGTTCTTCTTCATCAAATTTAGTTTATGCTCACCGAGTTTCAACTAATAATCCAATCGTAAAGTCAGTCAAACGTGCAATTGAAAAACAGTGCGTTGTTTATATATATACAAAGTGTAGTGTTTGTATATAATTTATTTAACAGCTCCTCCGATTGTATTTTTAGCTGAAATCTGATGGACATAAACTAAACTTGATGAAAAACATGCTCAAAAAAATCATCAAATAATTCCACCGGCAAGGGCCCCAAATTCTCTCGGCCGGACGGCTAGTCCTGTTAGCCCGGCCCAACAGGATCGCTACTCTGTGATTTAGACAAGCAAAACCTATTGTTATATTGAGGAAATGTATCTCACATCGGAATGTAACTTTTATAAGAAATAAAACATTAATTTCAATGTAAACAATGAAAAAGGAGTCTAAATTAAGGAAATGTATCTCAAGTTGAATATGTTTTGTTTCCAATATCAGGGTCGCCATTACAAATGACTTTAAGAAAAAAAAATTATTTTTCGTTTTGTTTTGTAATACAACTCATGTTACAACAAATGTAATTTGCTTTGATCGAAAATGTAACTTACGTATATGCAAAATGTAACTTGTTGAGAGAAGTCTAAATGTAATTAACTTGCACATAAAAATTAAGAAACATAATTCGCCGTACGTGAGAAGAAACAAACTCAATGTCTTAAAAAATTTAAAAACATACTACGTATAAAAGAGATAAAATTATACTCCGTATATTATAGAAAAAAGGTGTGAATATAAAAAATATATTACAAAAAGTGTATGAATATAAAAATATCAGAAAAATAAAAATAGTGTATGAATATGAAATGCAAGATAATTATTTTGTTTAGATTAATACATTTTTTGTTGTGAATTGATAAAGTAGAAAAAATAGATTGAGTTATAATTTTAGTTAAAGATAAAGAAAAGTTAAATTGCAACTAAATTTTTATTATTTTGATGGAGAAGGAGAAAAGAATCGAAGAAAAGATAAAGAAAGAGAAATAAAGGTAAGAAGAAAAATGGAGAAATAATTTAAATACCCCAAACTTTGAAGGTGTGTGAGGTAAATACCTCAAACTTGTATATGTAATATTTATATCCTGAATTTTATACAAAAAGTTCTCTTAGCACTATGATCATAAATGATAAATGTATTTAAATTATTTATTTAACACCATAAATTTACATCTGTGAATGAAAAATCGATCATATGATCATGATGTCAAACATAACTTTTTATATAAACTTTGGGATATTTATATTACATATGAAAGTTTGGGGCGTTGATGTTATACTCCCTCCGGTTCCAAAAGATCTTGACACTTTGACTTCACAGTTTTTAAGGAAATAAACATTGTTTGGCACTGTTTGGCACTGTTTGACACTATTTTGTGTAGATTTATTTGCCAAATAAGGAAAATAAGGAAGTGTAAAGATCTTTCTGGTACTGTTAAAAATGGAAAGTGTAAAGATCTTTCAGAACCGGAGGAAGTACTATTTTAATGTTTGGCATATTTCAAATATTTTTTCAAAGAAAAACGATGCTCCAAAGAAAAAAATGCAACAACATACATTGTGCACATGTTATAACAATCTCATGGTACGTAGTACTCCATATAATTTATTTATTATATAAGTAGCATCTCATAAGTCATACCGACAATGGTTATGGTTGATTGTATTACGTACCTAGCTTACCTGCTTGGAATTGTGAAATGTTCCTTTCGAGGCCAGGTAAGTATTATACCGACGTACTATTTCAACTCGTGAATCATTGCCAACATGTCACGTTATGTTGTGAGACAAACAGACTGTAAATAAACGGTAATCATAAGTCATAACATTCCGTTTATCAGAGGGGTAGTTCAACTGGTACCGAAGGAATGCCATAAGGGTTAGATCTCGTGTTCGAATCCTATCAACTGCGATTAGAGGTTATTATGCTAAAAATGGATAGAACCTCTGTAAGTTCGGGGACAAAGTCCCAATCTCTATCTGTCAGATTGAGATTATAATCCAATTTACATCCTCTCAACGTACCGCCCGGTTGGATTGGGGGTCCTCAGGGATGGGGTGTCATCCTTTTTTTTCTATCTATGGCTATCTCATTTTCTGAGCTCTTTGACTTTTATTATCAAGATTATTAATTCTTCCTATCAATAATTTGAGGTGCCATAATTTGGATGTGTTAAGACCTGGGGTTCCATCCTAAAACGTCAACCTGATAGGAGGAGTAGCCCATGTCTTAATATAGCATGCTATTAAGACATTTCCGGTGTGAGATTTAACACCCCTCCTCACGACCAGACTCTTTGTCTGGATCGTGCCATCATTCATTTTTTTTCGACAATTCGTCATTGTCATTTTTTTTTATAATTGTGTCAATCATTTTTCATAAGAGGGCCCACACCATGGATCGATTTGACTCTGATACCATGTTAAGATCTGAGGTTCCATCCTAAAAGGTCAACCTGATAGGAGGGAGTAGCCCATGTCTTAATATAGCACTGCGTTGACTCAAAGATTTCTGGTGTGGGATTTAACAGAATGGAAGATCACAAATGAATAAAAACATTAACAACATACTAATTAAAGATGGATTATAATGTTAGCTAATTTTAACCTAAAATAACTTTATTAAGAGTCAAATTATATACTTCACTCTTGCTATTTTGATATCCCAAATAATCTTCAATTTGTTGTTATGGCAAAGAATTTGGAGACAAATCCCACAATAGGAGTAACCGAGTAAAACATGCTAAAACAATCTCTTTTTATGGAAAATTAGTGCATTACTTTGAACGTCAAAATATATTATTACAAGCGGCTTAATGTGCTTCCTTGCGCATCCATTTACATTTTACACATGAATCACTCTTTGTATTTAGAAGTTATCATCATTACATATAAGGAATTTGAATTAATAGAATGATTTGGATCAATGAAATGCATAGTAGGTACGGTACCTCAATTTTTAAAAGGCTACCGATGTTGTCACCTACATATAATACGTGTAGTATAATATACCTAGTAAATGAATAAGGATTATCAAATTTAATTAAGATCTAAAGGCATTGTCAACAATGAAGGAGCCAAGAATGGCAGATTAAAGCTTAAGGAATTTACATAGTGGAGGCTAAAGTTTAAATTTTTATTATACTTTACTACTTATCAATATTTATACATATTTATATACATCACAATTTTTTCTTTTCTTTCAGGGATCAAAGCCATTGCCAACCTCCCCTTGTCACCACCCCTGGTAAACTCGGTTTGAATAATATTGAAATACTAAAAACATAAAAAAGGCATTTGTTTTGTGATATTTATTTATTTTACTAAATATATACATCATCCATTTAAAAAAAAATGCGTGCCTCTAGATACGCACTTGCATCTCTTATAAGGAAAATTTCAATGTCAAACTTACTTTCAAAGAAGCTCACCTTTTGAAAGGATCACAAGGAGAAAAAACTCGTAATATTGATCAATTATATTATAGTCACATTGACTAGCGACTGGCTACTTCTTCCAAGAGCTTATACCTTCTCCTCACCTTGTTTCTAACCACCACATGTTTAACTATCCCAACATCCGACGTTGACCTCCTCAGACTGGCTGCACCGGCGGTTTTGAGCGGCGGTGCTTTCTCCGCCGCCACCTTGAAAGGGTCCTTTCTCATCACCCCCTTTGGGCTCGACCCACCACCTTTTTTGTTACTCCATACCAGTAAGTTTTGTGGGTGTTGAGGAAGAGGTGAAAAGGACCGAGGTAACTTTTCTTTTTCGTTCTTGATCTCTTTTGTAATTATTTCATCACCGTCGCTCCCGGCGGCTCTATGCGGCGGGGATGATAAAAGCAAAGAAGAAGAAGAATGGGAAGAGTTGTCGTCGTCCTTTTGATCCCTTAGGCACCAGTTGCATTGACGGTAAGACTCCGCTTTCGGATATAAATTACTGCAATACCTGCACATATATCCATACATCCCCACCTTTTTTATTATATATATTCACCCAATTGGAATTTTAATACAAGTTGATCCCCTTTGCCTTCTAAAAGTAAAACACCATTTTGACTTCGGATGTCCTATCATTTACTCCAATCTCAAAAATAATATTAAAATATGAAAATAATACTACCTTCTTTCCCATTTTAACTTCCAAATGGTTTTGGCACAAAGTTTAAGATAGTGGATATTGTGTGGTGGAGAGTTGTGCAGAGGAGAGAGAAATGTGTAAGAAATGTTGTGAACCACAAATTTTTTACCAAAAAGGGAAAATGGATGTTTTAATTAGAACGAACGAAAAAGAAAAGTTGGAAGTTTATTTAGGAACGGAAGGAGTATTAAAATATTCCTTATTAAAAATATTTTCATAAAAAATTACTCCGTATAAATTATGAACAAATAAAATACTCCGTAATTAAAATCATTACACAAAAATTTGTCTATCATTAACTAAAAAAAGTCAATATGATAAACCCGTATTTAGTTCGGTCAAGATTCCCATGTTTAGTTCGGTCAAGATTATACATTAGTAGTCCCGTAATTTAACTCAGATCATATGTTCTACTCCGTATTAATCACATGATATCGTGTACAACTAGAAAGACAAAAGTATAGTTTACTTGTCTAATTAATTCTATTTTTTAATAATTCGGATTTCGGATTGTTTAATGCTACCCCAATACAGAATTTGGATCCTCTCGAGAGTTCCATTATGAGAGAGATGGAGAGGAGAAAATTAAGAATGTGGTAGGTTAGTGAATAGGATAGAGAAAAAAGCAGAGATAGATAGATATGAAGTGAAAAGGAAATAGAGGGAAAATGGAATAAAGAAATAGAGAGGAGCTCCACCCCAATACATCAGTACATTACCATAACTCAAAAAGGTGGAATCTCAGGTTGCCATGCCACCATCTCCACCTCCCGACCCAAGAGAATGTTGGACGAATAAATTACTGCAACCTAATTACTAATTACAAATACTTTTTGAATGAAGTGGTTCACAATAATTACTTTATGATTAATATCAGAGTATAATAAAGATAAAGTGAAATAATATATATCACATACTTTTTGACAAAGAAAATAAGACAATCAAAATGGGGCCGAGGGAGTATAATATTGTCAACAAATAAGAAAAGTAAAATTCTGGTGTCCATATGTGGAGACACAAATAAAGAAAAAAAATAAGTTACCTAATTATTTGAAGTGGCAAATTTGTTTGAGTTTAGTAAAAAAGAAAGTTATCAAATGGGGCGGATGAAGTAGTATTATTGACCAATTTATTTCCATAAATACTCTGCCAAATTACTTTCATATACTAGTACGTAGTATCAAATTTTTATAATTTAAATTATTAAATAATTATTCAGATTAATGGTTGAACACAAATATGGAAGACTGAGAAAGCAGAACCGACATCTTCATTTTCAGAGGAGCGTGTAATTAATGAATAATTTCTGGAATAAACAAGATTTCATTACATACCTGTGCTGGGATCGGAATAAGCAAGATTTGCATCTGAAAAGCTCAAATGGTAAACCCTTATCTCCGCACATGCAACATTCACTATGAAATTTGGGCGAAACCGGCGGGAGTGCTAGACCGCCGCCGTCAGCTTCTTTCCGACTGGCCATCTCCGATCAATTTGTGGAGTGATTGTTCTGTGCATCGATCATATCGTGGACGGGCCTTCGAGTGTTTCTTAAGAATAATTTGATGTTTGGAAAATCAATTGAGAGCTGCTAGCTTGGGAATATACATACTCCGTAAATGTAAGCGTCTGATGTGTATATATATATATATATATATATAGAGGGAGGGGTGGTATGGGTGGAGAGAATATTGGATTTGAGTGAAAAGATGTCTAACTTGCTATTTAATTAAATTGTGTTTTTTTATTCTATCATTATTATAAATTAAGAACAATCATTTTTGTATGTGCACTGTGTTATATCCTCTTTATTTGTTACTAGGTCATGAACCTGTGTGTTGTACGAGAAAAATCAACTCAAATTACTCAAATAAAAAAAGATCGAATGAATATTGTATACTACCTTCGGTCCGGGTAACGGTCCCAGTTGAGTTTACTATATTTGACATGTTATAAATTTAAGTGATACTCCGTACTTGTTAATAATAAAATTATTTTTAGTAAATAAAATTTACATATTCAAAAATTACATTAAAAGTCTTGTAAAGTCGCAAAAAACTCAAATTTGATAAAAATTGTATATATAAAGAAAAAGGTTAAGAAAAAATTACATTAATTTTCATCTAATTTTTTATTCATTAATTAAATATATTTTAAATACGGAGTATAATTTTTCTATAATTTAGAAGAATTAGAAATTTTAATCAGTTCAATCAGAATTTCATAATTTCAGCAGTTTTAACCAATTATGTCAATTGCAATGTTACTTAACGGAGTCTTATGAATAAGTACTACTTCACTTGACTTCCATGGATGTCACTTATGAGAGAATGAGCTTTAATGTTATGACTTGAAGAATGCTTCAATGTGGGAATAGGCGAGAATAATTGGAGAAATTCAATTGTCCACTCAATTCCTTTATATTATATAAAGATTCGCACAGCCAAAAAAGTATAAATACTGATACTTTTGATAAAACTGTCAGTGTTACTTTCGATTTTTTGATTGATGTATCTTTATGCAGATCTGTCAGGGTGATTGCACGGAAACCAATGTCAGTGCACACAAACATTAGTTGTCTGTGTAGACAAAAAAGTGTTTGTACCTATATATGTGAAGAAGGGGGAGGAGGAGGAGGAGGAGGAGGAGGAGGGAGGAGGAGGAGGAGGAGGAGGAGGAGGAGGAGGAGGAGGTGGTGGTGGTTGTGGTGGTGGTGAAGAAGAAGGAGAAAGGAAGGAAGAAAGAAGAAAGAAAAAAGAGGGGGAAGAAGAAGAAGATGATGATGATGGTGGTGGTGGTGGTGGTGGTGGTGGTGAAGAAGGAGAAAGAAAGGAAGAAAGAAGAAAGAAGACAGGGAGGGAAGAAGAAGAAGATGGAAAATTATATCCTACATCCGGATGTACGTGTACATCCGGTTATTTTGTAATTGTTAGCAACTTTAAGCCTTTGCTCTCTCATCTTCAATTCCTTCTCGCTGGATCTCCATTCCATCTTCTTTCCTTTTCCGCCGTCTTCCTCTTTTCCCTTTTCTCGTTGGATCTTCATTCCATTTTCTTTTCTTTTCTCTTCAGCCGCCATCTCATTTTCTTTCGCCGCCATACTCTTCGTTCCTCTTTTCGTTGTCATTCCTGATTGTTACTTTTAGTTTTGTCTTTACTTTTATTGGTAGCTGGTTGGTTTGACTTCCTTTTGTTTTGTCTTTTTCTTTACTTCTTTCTGATTTGTTTTTTTTTTGTTCTTTTCTGATTTGTTGTTCACTTCCTTTTCTTTATATATTAATTAATACTGAACATATTAGAAATGAGTTTTACTTTATACTCAAATGAGTAAAACGCCTAAAAAAATGAACATACAGAAATGAGTTTTTGAATTTTTCGATACTCATTTTGTAAGTTATGTATGTTCATTTAGTATTTATGTTATGCTCATTTTTAAAATGTTTTAGTAATGTATATTTTAAAAGTCTCATATTACAGTAGATTTATATAGGAGTTCATTATAGACACGAGACCACAAATCATGATCGATACATAATTGCAGATTCTAATACTCAATAACGGAGATTTGATGCTCATTGAAAATGTCTTGACGCTCAACGAACAAAACTTACAATTTTCATATCAATGCTCATCTTACAAGTTGCATATGCTCATTTTTATAGGTCTGATACTCATTTTTATGTTACTGAGGGAGTAATAAATATCTGGATGTCTAAATAAGGTCATAAGGATTTTAACTTTTTAGTACGTGGTATTTGATTTAACTTGCTGAATGACTAAATGCATGTATACTCCGTAGTACATAGTACATACTAATTACAATTGGGTTTGTGTGATTGCAAGTGAACTGGTGTCTACTACAATTGTAAAGTTAAATAGTACCGGGTAGTATTTAACATGCTAAATTTATGACTAGTAGTATAATTTATTTATTTATTTTGGGTTAATATTGCTATATTGGTAAAAAAAACGGTATTGTGTTGATGACTTGAATTGTAATATCAATGCATATTTCAAAAGTATCATATTACATTAGACTCTCATATTGAAATTAATAGGAGTGTATTATAGATATAATTTAATAAGCTTTTATAAAAGAAAAAATAAGAAAAAAAAAGAATTAGAAGATATGAAGCAGGGATCGTGATACTCATTGTTAGTCTCATAAATACTCAATAAAATAAGGCTGATGCTCATTAAAAGTACAATATTGCTCATTTAGCGGAAGCCTTGATTTTTTGCTTAAATTACAAAAATGCCACCGATTTTTTTTGGCCTGTATTAGTTTTGGATGTGTTTTCATTTTGGGTCGTTTACTGTAGTCTTTTAGTGCTCCAATCCATTATAATACTTCTGATGGGTCGGATGTACGATGCCCTACGTACATCCGGATGTATAATATACCAACTGGAAGAAGATGATGATGATGATGATGATGATGATGATGACGATGGTGGTGGTGGTGGTGGTGGTGGTAAAGAAGGAGAAAGGAAGGAACGAAGAAAGAAGAAAGAAGAAAGAAGAAAGAGAGACAGGTCTTCTTATAGGGGATGAAGGGAAGAGAAAAAGTGGGAAAAGATGGGAGAGAGAAAAGTGGGGAAGGGGAGAAGTAAAAAATGGGGGTACATATAGGATGTACCCCTCAAGTGTAACCTGGGTATACCTCTAGCAAATTTCTAAAATGAAATATGTAGCACAACACAAGATATTAAAATAGGGAGAATCATGTAACGCTTTTATAAACATGAAAATTGGTGACAATCATTTGAGCATTTTTACATTACTTTTGTCCCATTAGACATGGTTAAGTTTGTGTAAACTGTGAAATAAAAAAATAAAAAAATTGTGCAATTGAGAGTTGTGCAAAGAAGAAAGAGTAAATAGAAACACAAACAACTTACTTGATAAATGGAAAAATCTTTAAGACAAACAAAAAAAACCGATAAAGTTCAATTCGACGAAGGGAGTATATATGCAAAGATAACAGTAGATGGATGAGAGTATGTGGTGTATAATGGGTTTGTTGATATTAGGTGATATTAACTTTGTCGAATTAACCTTAAGTTCCCAAGAACCTATCTCAAACCATTAAAAAGTAAATATGTGTAAATTTGTACACCACCTCTCACAAGAAACTACATGTACTTGATTGACTGTGTGTGTACTCATATTTTTAGCACAGCTCTTGAGAGAATTATGACTGATTGGTCAAACATCACCATGTTCCCAACCAGAAGATAATTTCTACATCACTTGAGGTTATGCAAAGCACTAAAAAAATCGAGAGGTAGAAGATCATCACTTGAGAAAAGCATCCTGTATTTTCCTTTCTGGTGACTTTAACTTAGACCTCTCACAAGTAGTTGATCTTACGTGCGTGAAGTGGTCCAGTGGCACCACACACATTAGGGGTGAGTTCAGTTTGTTTGATTCGATTTTGACCAAAAACCAAATACGAAACCAAAGTTTAAAGTTCGGTTCAATTTTGATTCGATTTCACATTTCAAATCTTGAAACCACGCTTTGATTGGTTCGATTGGTTCAATTTTGGTTTTTTTACTAAAAAATTTATTTTGATTTAAAATGATACGACAATTAAGGAGATCAAACATGTTACATAAAAAATGAAAGCATACTATAACAAATAAAATACAAAAAAAAAACAGAAGAAGAAATAAATATGTCTAGAATAATATGAGTGTGCAGGAGAGATGAGTATGTCACAAACTTTCCAATTTTTGGAACAAAAGCGTATATCTTCTTTATTTACATTTTTGGTGACTAGTTTGGAAAAAGTTCATGAATATTTACGTTCTATGTGACATAGTTGAGATGAGTACTTATTTGTTATATCAATATAAAAAGTTTAAGTTATATAAAAATAAAAATTACTAGTAATGACCAGTAAAAATATATCAAAATCATATAACAAATTGTAAAATACATATATAAAGACATAATAAATCAATATAGCTACATTATTATGAGCAATGAGTGTGTAAATGCATTTATAAGCTAAATTGAACATAACACAAAACTTAACTTTCTAACACAAGAAAACAAAACATTATCAATGATATTATGATTAATGCTAAAAAATACTCCGTAACAAATAAAATTTCATATTTTAATTAGTTCAGTTTATTTGGTTCGATTCAGTTTAATTTGATTCGATTTGGTTTTTTAATTTAGGAGTTCGGTTTAATTTGGTTACACTTTGACTTATTTTGATTCGGTTTTTGGTTTTCTTTTTTTCAGATCCAACCCTACTCACACTTGTACTATACCACAATGTTGGCTACAATATTTGCTACAACATGTTGCCAACACATGTTACTATGCGAATGAGGATGATTTATTTGAAGTGAAACATTCTAGTTTGGTCTACTTTATTTAAGTTTAATTTGGTTTGATATGTTTACCTATAATTTTGTCAAGTCTGATCTAGTAAGGGAACATATATATGTGTATTTTACATTAATTCATGTCTTATGTAGCCTATGTGATCTGATGCATATATAATTAAAGTCCAATCTAGTTTTAATTTAAACCTAATCTGATTTGAAGAGATTCAAAGCTAAGGGGAAACTCAATAATTTTATTTTTCTCTATTACTTCCACTCAATATGTAAAGGGAAACTACATAGAAATCTGACTTCAAATATCAAAATTGTAAAGAGAACCAAAGACT